TGGTTGAAACGCAGATGCTGGATTGACGTCTGGGCGGCCTTCACGAGGGCAATCCTCTCAGAGAAGGACTTGTCAGAGACCACTCTCTCGTGTAGCGAGAGTCTCCCAGCGCTATCCAGCAGGCAATAGGGTAATTGAAGTCCACGTCCGAGTACCCACTGTGCCGGTGAATACCCACTGGCATTGATTGAGCTATTCATAGCCCAGCAGACAGCGGCGAGCAGCCACTGGATCTTGTGGGCGTTCGCGGGCTGATCGAACCTGATGCTGAACTGGTCGATCAGCTTCCTGGCGTGGACCTTCCACATGCCGCCGTGCCTTTCCACGGTGGCGTTCTGTTGCGGCGTAGCCGCGGCAGTAGTCATAAGGCGACAGCCCATGTCCTCGAGTTCCTTTGAGAACTCTCTCTCAAACTCGCCTCCTCCATCGAAAAGTACCCGTTGTGGTGCCCCAAACGGTGTAATCCAAACCTGCAAAAGCCTCGCGAATACAATCGAGGGGTGTCTTGAAGAAACTGTACCGCATAATGTAAATCCAGAAGCGAGATCGACCACATTGAGAAAAACCAACTGATTGCCGGCGTAGTCGGCGAGAGTGAACAAGTCCACTCCAATGGAATCATTGAAGTCCCTATCTAGCTTGATTCCCCCAGGAAGATGAGGTAGGGGTCGCCGATGGGCGGCGCAGACTTCGCAGTGCAGGTTGAGTGCCATCTCGACCGCTCTTTGGGATCCACCCGTCACTCGGATGGCCCGGGACAACGCGTCGTTGGCAGGGTGCCCCGTGTTGACGTGGAGTTGCAGTATGGCGGACTTGAGCGTCCGCTCCTCCGCTGCCGTCAAGGCTGGCTCTGCGGGGGCTGCCGGGGCAGGCACTGTCCTCCTCGCGGCTCTCCGTCTCGTTGGTTCCGCGGGGTTTGCCTCGCGGTGCTCGGTCATGTTCGTCTTGCGAAGCTGCTTGACCAGCATGGCGACGAGCTTGTCGGTGTAGTTCTCGCTGTCCTTAGCGAGCTTGCCACGGGCCTCGACGTGTTTGTGTAGGCCGTCGCAAAGCTTGTGCAGCGAGTTGTCGATCCCGTAGTGGTCGGTGATAATCCTCCACGGCTTCTTGATCGCGTCCCCGCTCCTGGTCTGAAGGCCGTAAGCGCAGCCATCGAAATCGATGACGCGCGGGAGCTGATCTTTCAGCTTCTTCGCGGTGTAGTTCTTCTTCTGATCCCAGCCGTCGCAGTAGCGCGGCCACTCGAAGGAGACCGCGAGCTGGCTGCCAAACTCCTTCCGCAGGCGGCTCATTGACGTCAGGAAAAGGTCGATCATCCTCGCGGAATACTTCCGGTCCCTTTCCAGCTTCTCAGCCTTGCGGGGGTCGATCTTCAGGATGATGCGCTGCAACGCGGTCCATGGCGCGCATGGAAATGCGGCATGGACCCGTGCACTCTGGCCCTTCCGCAGGCTCTTCCGAATCTTGTCCTCGAGCTTCTCGACGATGGGCTTCCGAGAGAGGTCGTATCCAGCAAGACCGCAACGTACAGCAGCTCCTCCACTCTCAGTCCACTTCGCACTGAGCTTGCTGTCAGGGTTGCAGCACCACTCGTAGAGGATGGTGGTGTTGCTCGAGATTCCGCTCGAGCTCGTAGTTGACTTGGCCAGGTCAGCCTTGAGCGCCTGGCTGACTGTGTGCGGCTTAACGCCGCTCTTGTTGGTGACGATGGCCGACCGCTTGCCGGCGGTCAGCTGCAGCCTTGTCCCTTTCTTGAGCCGACGTACCTTCATCTGCTCCTCCTCCACGATGTTGACCTCCTTCGGGTCGTTGTCGTTCTCGATGTCCAGCGTGACCGAGTTGCCGAAAACACACTCGGAGCAGAACCCGAGGTGGCAACAGTCTGTATAGGACTTGGCGCCGCAGGCCACGCAATCGTCGAGGGGCTCGGCGATGCAGGTAGTAGCCGAAATCATTGTTGGAGCAAACGTCGGCGGCGCGACCGCCGTCGAACAGCAGACCAACGCAGAGCTTACGGCGGCCATGAGCCTTGAGCTGCCGCCGCGTCGCTGTTGAAGTCGTCTCGGTACATTGAGCTCCTTCTTGGGAATGAGTATCGTGATATTCTCGAGCAAGTTGCTCGCCTTCGTAGTGAGGTTGACCGTGGGCTTCGGGGCTGGCCGCTTGGCGATGCCCTTAGTACTGACAGCCTTCGGTCCAAACTCGTGGCCCGCGCCCTTGATGGCGAGCCAGTCCTCCGGGTGGAGGTCGATCGCGGGATGTCCTGCGCTGCTCGTGATGAGCTTCTGGGAATGGTTCCCGATGCGGATCTGTTCCCGCCAGAGCGAGATGTCGATCTTGCTCGGCTGAATGAAGTCCCGGCCGATAAGCAGGCCGAGCGTGGGGCTGTCCACGACGCTGAATACTATGCGACCAGCGCGTCCACACAGGACGAGTGGGGCTGTGACGCGCAGCTTGCTCGGGAGCGTGCCGCCGTTCCCGAACCTGTAGACTTCGTTCTCTGGCTCCTCCAGGATCTGGTCGACCAGACCCATCTTGGTGAGCTTCTCCTTGTACTGCTTGTACCAGCTGAGCCCGCCAACGCAGAAGAGACAGGCAGTGTCGATCACGCCGACGCCGTCGTCGTTGGGCTTCTCGCCAGCGTTGGTGGTGTTGATGGTGGGCAAATCTGGTACCACGCGCTCGGAGACCAGAGTCTCGGGGGGCGGAGTGATCGGACCTTCTGGATGAAGAATCACTTCTTCGTCACCGAACTCCGCGTGATTCTGGTCGTGGACCTGCTCGGTGATGTTGGCCTGGCGGTGCGAGCGAGCTCCGCCGCCTCGTCCTCCGCCCTTTTGCTTAGAATTTGGGGCGAACTTCCGAGCGCCTGGTGTCGGGCACTCCTTGTCACCGGTCCAGTGCCCCGCCTCGCCGCAGTCCCAGCACTTGGAGTTCTTCTTGCGCTGGTCCACGCGGCCTTGTAGCTTGCCCGCGGGTCGGCGCTTGGGCGAAGCCTTCCCGCGGCCCTCGATAGCCTCCCGGGCCGACCGTATGGTCGCCATGGCCTCGGGAATCGCGGCGAGCTCCGCCGCGGCAGCCTCCACCTTGGCAGATCGCCCCGATCGAACACCTCGCCGAGGTCGTAATTGGACTGCTCCAGCTCGGCGCTGAAAGCCTCGAGCTCCTGGCGCACGATGTCCTGGACGTCTGCCTCCGTGTCATTGTCGTCGCCGTCCTCCGAGTCCTCATGCTCGTCTTCTGGCTCGTCAGCGATGTTGGCTGAACGTGCTCGGCTTGGCGGTGAGCGCTGCCAACTACTGTTTGATCGCTGCGGCCAGGATCGTGACGGCAAGCTTGCGTGTCGTTCAGATGTATGGATATCGGGGAACATGCGCACCAGCAGGCCCCTGATGCGCTGAAATGAGTAGTGCTCGTCCGGCAAGTTGCCCACGACGCGCCCACGGCGCTCGGCCGTGAGCCCAGCCTTGCGTAGCAGGAACCAGCCGGCCACGTCGTCAAGCGTAGTGAGGTCGACCTCGTTCTCACGTAGTTGCTGTAGTCCCGCCTCGAATCGCACGAGCCAATCCGTCATGCGTTCTCCACGGCGGCGATGGTGCTGAGTCGACTCGAAGAACTTTTCTAGCGTCTCTCCCTTCTGCACCGGCTTCTGCTGGCCTAGGTTTGCCTCGAGGTGCATTAGCACGTTCTCGATGCCCTTCTGGTTGCGATCGCGCTTCTTCTCGTTCGCATCCTCGATGCCGTCGCCCGGCGGCGGGTGGAGCTCCTGCTCCGTCATATTGAGAGCAGCCGACCTGGCTGTACCCGTCAAACGCAGGACTAACTTCCATGCCAAACTTTGTGTCACTTCCAAGTTCTCACTGAGCTTCCACAATTTTACCTCCTGTTTGTAATCTCGCCATTTCGCTGGATCTCCATTCCAGCTTGGCATCACTGACTGGTTGTGCGTGAACTCCGTCATCTTGACACCGTCGTAGGTGAAGTATGTGGCGTCGCTGACACCGTCGTAGAAGAAGTATATGGCGTCGCTGACACCGTCGTAGTAGGAGAAGTATGTGGCGTCGCTGACACCGTCGTAGGAGAAGTATGTGGCGTCGCTGACACCTTCGTAGTAGGAGAAATATGTGGCGTCGCTGACACCGTCGTAGAGGAAGTGTGTGGCGTCGCTGACACCGTCGTAGAGGAAGTATGCCGCGTCGCTGACACAGGCGTAGGAGAAGTAGCTGTCGTCGCTGCTGAGGGTGGGAAAGAAGATGTGGTTGCTGGCGTCGCTGACGCTGGCGTTGGAGCTGGCAGGGATGTAGGCGTAGTAGGCGTTGGTGCTGGCGTCGCTGACGCTGGCGTTGGTGCTGGCGTCGCTGACGCTGGCGTAGATGCTGGCGTCGCTGACGCTGGCGTAGGCGCTGGCGTCGCTGACGCTGGCGTAGGCGTAGGCGCTGAGCAACAGCGCGAGGAGGCCGCTGGGCCTCGATTCCAATATGGAGTGCGACGTCGCGGACGTCGTCTTGGGTATGCGGCCCCGCGGGCCGGGATAGCGAGCCTCGCTCCAAGCTGCCACTGTGATATGGATATCGCTGATATCGTTTGTCGAGGAATCGCGCGGCGAAGCTCTCTGCGTAGCTCTAAGGCCAAGGGCCCTAGTTTGAAACAAAATGGCGGCGACAAGGCGGGCGTGAGAGATAGAGCGGGGAAGCAGGGAAGGAGCAGGAAGGGCACGGGGAGTGAGCGGGAATCACACCCGAGGGCCCGCTGCTGGCGGGCCGGGGGGAGCAGCGCATGAGCCACCGCGAGCTCGATTTCCAAATGCGCTTCTCCACGCGGGGCGGGTGGACTTCCTCCGGGCCAAGCTCGTGGAGCAACGCAGGGGGTGGCTCCAAGGGGGGCGGCCGAGGCAACAACGCCAAGGGGAAAAACAAGGGGAAGAAAGGGTCTGGGAAGGACGCCCCCGATGCTGCCAGGAGTGCCCAGTAGTCCCTCCTGCGGAGGGTCTCGCCCAAAAGGCGAGCGGGCTGGTCGCTGGGCAAGCGGTCGGTCCGGCTGCAGGGCGCACCTTCGCGGCCGTCTCTACGCGCCAGGGGAAGGACAATTGTGCGGAGAAGGGTGGTGGCGACAATTGCGGTGGATTGTCCGAGGACAGCTCCACGGAGAAAGGTGGTTGCGACAATTGCGGTAGATCCCCCGAGGAGGATCCCGAGTGCGCCAATTACAAGGACATGCGCTACACGGTTGGCAGCTACAAGGACATCGGCGCTGCCTCGGCCAGGGCTGGGGCCTCGGCCGGCAGCGCAGGGCAAGATGAGCATGCGTGTTTTGATCATTTCCGGGCCCTCTTCGGCAAGGAGTTCAGAGGGGTCAGTTACTTCCGCGGCCGCGTGGCGAGGTGCCATGCAGGTTTGCGTATCGGGCTGCCGGGGTCTGCCAGGGTTGGGCCCCTGCCTGCTTGCGGCATGTCGCTCCGCCCCTTCGCGGATCGCTTTCGCTGCTGATTCCTCGATTTCCGCCGCCCGCGCTTCCGGCGACCCGCCGAGCGCGAAGGGGCGCGAGTTCCTCCCGATCGAGACGCTCGCTGCAGAGAAGGCTTTGCGCGAGGCCGTCGACGCCGAGGCGCGGGGCACGCTTGCCGCGCACGCCCTCAATTTCCTCGCACGCGCGGGGCGGTACCAGAGGCCTGCGTGGTTTCGCGCCTCCGCCTCGCTGTCGCGCGAGCAGCGCGGCGTCATTGGTCGCCTCGTGGAGTCCGCGGGGCGCGTGCTTAATAACTCGCTGCAGGCGGTTGATCCTGCAACTGCCCGCGATGACCTCGAGGCTCGTCGCGCGGGTTGCGGCGGCGGGGTCGCGTCCAAGAAGCGGGGCTCGGTTTGCGACCTGGCAGTTCCTGCCTGGCCAGTTGCCGGCAAGGCGGCCACCCTCCCAGTGGAAGATTTCGTGGACGGGGGGTTCCGCGACGATTTGCTCGACGCGCAGCGACGCCTGCCCCCGCGTTCGGAATGGCCGGCCGTCGCTCCGCAGTCGCCGGCGCGCGCTGGCGACGCTGAGCGGCGCGAGATCGCGCAGGTCGGCATCGAGCGCGGCGTCGTGGTGGAGGTCAACAAGGACGACGGACTGAGGGGCGGCAGCGGCAAACTAGTGCTCAATGGCGCGACGGGGGCGTGCAAGTTCAATATCGTCGGCGGCTTTCGAACGCAGGCTTCTGCGCTTTATCTCCATCCTCGTGCCTTCGAACTCGCTGCTTCGTCGGCTGCGCGGTGGCAGTAGTGATCTACCGCACCTGGGTCAGCTCAGCCTCGTCGTATTGCAGCTGGGAGAAGACGCGTGGGTCGATTCGGAGGACATGGAGCCTTGCTTCATATGTTTCGCACGCCTACGGCGTGGAGGGGGGCGTCTGCGTTCGGCAAGCAAGCCCCGCGTAATTGGCGTCATTGGCGGGCCAGCTTCGCAAATGATGCACGTCGCTATTCGAAGGGCTCCCATGGGCTGGCTCGGCGCGGTCGACGTCGCGCAGCACGCGGCACGGCAGCTGGTTTTTGAAACTCGCGGGGCCCTTGCCAGCGCTGAGTCGCATGATGATTGCGTCGCGCCCCCTGGCCCAGACTTCGCCGTCGCGCGCGCGGACGGCGCTGACTATTTGCGCAACGCGGCGGCCGCCGCTAAGTGGGCAGGCGGCCCGGGCTAGAGTCCGGGGCGCGAGCGTTTTGCGGCGGCCTGCCGGCGGTTGAATTGCCGCTCAACTATGGGAAACGCGTTGCGCGCGCAGCGCATGGGGCCCTGGTCTGTGGAGAGCTCGATGGGTTTCGCGGCTGGTTGTCGCGCGGTCGAGACAAAAGCGCTGCTGTTGAATTTGAGGGCGACGTGCTTTTGGGCATGCCGCAGTGGAGTGGCGGTGCTATTCAGCATTGGCAATGTTGTTTGTGCGATGGGGCCTCCTTCCGCGGCCCCGTTTTCGCGGCGCTCCAAGAGGCGCCCCTGCTGTCTCCGCAGGGCCAAGCGTCGCGGAGCTCGGCGTGGAGCTCTTGGACGAGGCGCTGCTCGTGACGTTTCTAATTCCGTTTATGTGCGCGGACTTGCGCGCCGAAATCGGCGTTCAGCTGCGTCCTCAGCCGATGGCGGGGCCTGCGAGGCCACTGAGTTCGTCGACGCGCTGGACGGTGGAGCGGAGGGTTTTGCAGAGAATGTCGTTGCGCCCCGTCGAGGAGGCAGGGCAAAGTTGCGAGGCTCCACGTCGAGCAGCGGTGCGCGCGGCCTGCGGGTGCCCCCTGCCGGCCGACGCCGGCAGGCGTTGCATGTTGGGATGCAGCGCGCTAGCTTGCAGGCTTGATTGCCTCCTGAGGCGTCGCGGGAGCTGCGGCGCGGAGTGCCGTGGGCTCCCCGCTTGCGTGGCGCGCGTCGCAGGGGCCTCACGCGGCTGTCTGGCGCGGGAGGCCGGGGGGCGTTGCGTGCCGGTCATGCCCTCGCTCGGCGCGCAACGTCCGTCACGGTCTCCGCCGGCGGTCGGCGCGGCCAGCCACCGCGATCTGCCGGAGGCAACGTGGATGCAGTGGTGTTCAGGTGCTCTGGAGCTCCAGGTGCAGCGCGCGCATGGGCGCGCCCTCCGCGACGAGGCCCACCCGGTGGGTCGGCCGCGCCTGCCCAAACGCTTGCGGAGCAGGATCGCCAGAGGCAGCTCTTTTGTTAAATCGGCATTGCGTCTTCTCGAGGCACAGCTGGCCAACGGGCGCCTGGGTGCCATCGGGCTGCCCGGGGGATCTCGCGTCTCCCAGGTGCCTTTGGTGTCGACGGCGCAGCGGTTGAACGGCGTCTTCTTGGGCGCGGTCTGCGCCTCGTGGTGGGGTGGGCCCGCGGAGTTTGGACTTTGCGTGCTGCGTTGCTCGGGTGCCCTTCGCCGCGCATTGGTGTCTACGTGGCAGCGCCAGTCTCCGTTGCCCACCGGCTGGCGCAGAGCATGGCGCGCATTTGCTGGCGCGATTATTGCCGATGCCCTGCAGGCGCGCCACCTGGGGCAGTTGCGGGCCGCCCCGCCCCTCCGCGAAGGTCGGTTGCGGCGCGAGTTGCGTCGCGGCGCTGCGAGGCTGTCCGAGGGGCCATGCCTTTCGGCAGCAGCGCGCGCGCTCCTGGACAGACTTCGGCGCATGATGCGCGGTGCGGAACTCGTGCATCTGCGGGGTCTTTTCCGCGAGGCGGATTACGGGGGGTCGAGCGCGCGCATTTTCACGGGGGGGCCCATCGACGGGCGTCGGCAAGACCTCCCTTGCCCAGCGCGAGCCTGGAACATGGAAAACAGTCCAGGCGCGCCCGCGGCGCCAGGAACAGCGCGTCAACGCGCTCGAATTCACGGCCTTTTTAATTGATGCCCGGTCTTTGGCGGGCTCGCCCAGCTTCCAAAATAGACGCGGCCTCCATGCGTTCGACAGTCGGTTCGTTGCTTGCGTCGCGGACAAAGAGCGCAGCAGGTCGAAGGCCCTGAATTCTTTCTCGAGTTTGTTCTGGGCGTGCGCTCTCGCTGCCAACTCGTGCGTGCTCACGTTGTGGGCCGTCAGTCATTGGAAGTGCTATGGCGCAGCCAGCTGGCTGCATCGCGGCACTTATGGGCAACGCGCGACGCCGGTCCAGGCGGGCCAAGCGTTCGTCGGGAGCCTCGAGACGGGGGTCAGTGCAAACGGGGGTCAGCCAGGGCGCCGGATCCTGCAGGATCCTGCGAAGGCCCTCTCTGGCTGACCCGGGTTAGGGAGCCGCTCGTGGCCGCGAGGCGGCCGCGCGCATTGGCTGACCCGGGTTTGCGGGGACCTGCGTTGCATTTTTTTTTCTTGCATTGCAGTTTTTGGTTTCTTGCTGACCCGGGTCTGGATTGACCCGGGTCAGAGGATCCCCGAGTTCGCATATCAAGTAGGAGGGTATTACTGATCGAACACTTCAACGTCATAGGAAGCTGGTGGGCAATTGCTTCAACTACGTGCATGTGCGTGGTCTCCATCGGCCGGATAGCATGGCCGATTTCGATATAGCAGCTCCGGAGCGCGCCGACCATTCGCACATGGCAGGCGAACCGCGCGGGCACGCGCGCGACTTCGTGTCCAGCCTCCGCCGGCTTCTACCTGGCAGCCGCAACCGCGTGGACACGGCGAAGTTGCATTGCTCGCATTGGGGTCGAGGGCTGAAGCGGCGGCGGGCGTTGCCCATTCCAGCCGGCGCCCTGGTTGGGATGGTTGGTGCGGCTGTCGCCAGCAGCGAGGACCGCGTCGCTGTCATCTTCCCTTCTAGGTTTCTTGTTCTTCTCCGTGCTGGCGAGCTGTTGGCTCTCGCCCCAAAGCAGGTCAAGGTCATCGCCGATAATTTGTGCGTGTGGTTAGTTTGCCAGGCTCGAACTGATTTCAGAGGAGAGGTTTCGACGTGTGCGCGCTGTTGCATGACCCGCTCGCGGTGCGGCTCATTTCTCGAACATTGTGGAGTATGCCACCTAATGACCGGGTGCTCCCGGGTACTTGTCCGTGACCTTGCGAGCGCGATCAGGAAGTATACCGGCGATGTCGGTATAGATGGCCTTTCGCGTGCACTTTATTGTCTTCGACGTGGTGGTGCAACATGGCGTCGTGCTAAGTACGCCTCCCTCGATGCCACGTTATCGTTAGAGCGGTGGGGGCACGCCAAGACTGCCAACATCTACATCAACCAGGTGGTGTCTGATGGCGTAGCGGCGGCACTGCCGCGCTGCAAACGGCTCCTGGCCATTCTCGCTACCGCCCCGACCACCCGCCTATAGGGGGGCATGGGCTGGGTGCCGCGCGCGGCATTTGCTCCCCTCCAGGCAGGCGGGGGAGGAAATCGCACGCGGGTCATTGGTCATGGGCGTGGCTTCTTGAGGCCCTGCCTGGAGGTGGTCGGCATGGGCCGCCCAGCCTTCGCGCCGCGCGCGTTGCAGCGAGGCCCGCGCGCTGGGCGCCCATGCCTCTTGAGGCCGCGCCCTGCGCGGCGACGGCGCGCGTTCCCCGGAGGGGCGGGCTCGCCGCGACGGTCTGGGCTTTTTGGCATTGGCCGTCAGCGCGCGGAGTGCTGAAAGCGGCCGTAGGGCGCGGGCCCTGCGCGAGGCGGCATCCGTCGCGCGTCGTTCGTTGTCGCCGCCATCGCGCTCGCGCAGCGAGCGGGCGCGGGGCCTGTCGCGCGGGCGCGCGCAGACCCTCGAGGGCGACGCGGGCGCTGGAAACTGAGCGCGGGGCGCGCGCGCGCGCGCTGCGCCGCGCGCGCGTGGGGGCAGGCGCGGAGGGCACTCATGCATCGCGCGCGCCACTGCTGCTTTTGCCCGCCGCCCGCCCCGCCTCCTGAGGCAAGCGGGCCATTGGTCATAGGCGCGGCTTCTTGAGGCACCGCCTGGAGGCGGTCGGCGCGGGCCGCCCAGCCCCCGCGCCGCGCGCGTTGCGGCAGGGCCGCGCGCTGGGCGCCGACGCCTCCTGGGGCCGCGCCCTGCGCGGCGACGGCGAGCGTTCCCTGGAGGGGCTGGCTCGCCGCAGCGGCCCGGGCCTTCTGGTCTTGGCCGTCAGCACGCGGAGCGCTGATCACCGCCGTAGGGCGCGGGCCCTGCGCTGCCGTCGCGCGTTCTTCGCGCTGTCGCCACCAGCGCTTTCACGCAGTGAGTTGTCGCAGGGCTCGCCCCATGGGCGCGCGCAGACCCTTGAGAGTTGCGTGGGCGCTGGAAATGGAGCGCGCGGTGCGTGCATGCGTACTACTACTACTACTACTACTACTACTACTACTACTACTACCACTACTACTACTACTACTACTACTACTACTACGACTACTACTGCTACTACTACTACTACTGCTGCTGCTGCTGCTACTACTACTAATAATCATAATAATTCGAATACACATACTGCACCACTACTATTGTTACTACTACTTGTGCTACTATTACTACTACTACTACTACTACTACTACTACTACTACTACTACTACTATTACTACTTTTACTATTACTAATACTATTACTATTACTACTACCACTACTCCTGCTGCTCCTACTACTACTACTACTACGACTACTACTATTGCTAGTACTACGGTTCTCATATTACTATTACCACCAACGCTATTTTTTAATACTACTACTGCTGCTACTAGTGCCACTACCTTTTTTTTCACACTACTATACTCTTCCACAACTACCAATACTACTTCTAGTTCTACTACTACTACTACTACTACTACTACTACTACTAGGACTACCACTACTACTACTACTACTACTACTTCTACTAATACTATTACATTTACTACTACTACTACGACTACTACTACTACTACTACTGCTACTACTACTACTACTATTACTGCTACTAGTACTAGTTTTAGTACTAGTATTACGATCAATTCTACTACTACTACTACTACTACTACTACTACTACTACGACTAGTAATATGACGGCGACTACTACAACTACCACTACTAGTCCGACTACGATTATTATTATCACGATGTTGATTACCACTACGACCACCACCACAACCATTAGTACTGCTATTACTACTACTACTACCACTACCACTAGTACTGCTACCACTACCACTACTACTACTACTACTACTACTACTACTACTATTACTGCTGCTAGTACTAGTATTAGTACTAGTATTACGATCAATTCTACTACTACTACTACTACTACTACTACTACTACTACTACTACTACGACTAGTAATATGACGGCGACTACTACAACTACCACTACTAGTACGACTACGATTATTATTATCACGATGTTGATTACCACTACGACCACCACCACAACCACTAGTACTGCTATTACTACTACTACTACCACTACCACTAGTACTGCTACCACCACGACCACTGCTACTACTACCACTACCACTAGTACTGCTATTACTACTACTACTACTACTACTATTACTACTACTACCACGGCTACGTCGACTTCTACTACCACTGCTACTACTACTACTACTACTACTACAATACTACTACTACTACTACTACCACCAACACTACTACTACTACTACTACTACTACTACTACTACTACTACTGCTACTACTACTACTACTACTACTACTGCTACTGCTACTACTACTACTACTACCATTGCTGCCACTACTACGGCTAGTATTACTACTACTACTACTACTACTACTACTACTACTACCAGTGAACATTCCACTGCGACTACCAACCGTATTATTATGTTTATCATTACTACTACCCTTACTACTACAGCGACTACCAGCTGCTACTACCACTACTACCGCGACTACGACTACTACGATTACTACTACCACGCATAACCTGATCATTGTTCGCACCACCACTATTACTACTACTACTACTACTGCTACTACTACTACCACTACTACTACTACTACTACTACCACTACCACGACGTACACGAGTACGTCACGACTACGACTGCGACCATTTCCATTACTATTACCAGCGCGAGCACTTTCAATATTATTAATACTACTACTGCCACTACTACTACTACTACTACTACTACTACTACCACTACTACTACGACTACTGCTACTACGACTGCAATGACTACGACTATTACGACAATGTTTACGGCAACGACTAATATTTTCTATTCGTAGTAACACGAATACTAATGCTACCACTACTACCATTACTACTACTACTACTACTACTACTACTACTACTACTACGACTACTAGAACTATCTAGTACTACTAGTACTGCTACTACTAGTACTCCTGCTACTACTAGTACTAGTACTACTACTACTACTACTACTACTACTACTACTACTACTATAACTACCAATACGATTACCGGCACTACTATGACTACGACGTTTCCGATTACCTTTAATGCTTTTAGTTTTAGTTACAACGGTTACAATTTTACGACTACACTTACGACTACGGCGACGACTCGTACGAGTACGAATGATATTACGAATGATGTTGTTGCGACTGCTACATCGACTCATGTGGGGCGCGCATCTGTACCAATGTGGCGTTGCGTGCAAATCCGTGCGGGCGCGCACGTAAACTCAGTGAAGCGGCGCTCCCCGTTATTGTCTGGATAGGTTCCCCAAGACACGGCCGTGCCGTTTTGGACATCTTCGAACACATGAGACATTGGAGGGCGCGCTTCAAGATGGTGCACGTCAGACCTGAGGATCGCGGTGGGGACATCTTAACAAAACGAGATGTCCAGGGATCTTGCGAAGTCGTCGTGAGATTAAAGATGCGGCTGTCGCCCGAGACATCCTCGAACACATGAGATGGTGGACGAGGTGTTGAAAGACGTCGTCTGTTCAACGTGGGGCTCTCGATCGAGCCATCCTCGAAACATGGCGATATCCAGGGAGCTTGCAAACCAATAGGAGCAGGAGGAGGAGGAGGCGGAGGAAGAAGAGCAGGAGGAGGAGAACCAGGAGGAGGAGGGGGAGGAGAGGGAAGAGGAGGAAGAGGAAGAGGAGGAGGAAGAGGAGGGAGGAGGAGGAGGAGGAATAGGAGGAGGAAGAGGAAAAGGAGGATGAGGAAGAGGAGGAAAAGGAGGAGCAGCAGGCGGGGGAGGAGGCAGGGGAGGAAGTGGAGGAGGAGGAGGAGGAAGAGGGGCAGGAGCAGGAGCAGGAGCAGCAGGAGGAGGAAGAGGAGAGGGAGGAGGAAGAGGAGGAGAAGGAGGAGTGGGAAGGGTAAGAGGGGGAGGAGGGGGAGGACTGTGAAGAGGGAGAGGAGGAGCGGAAGGAGGAGGAGGAGGCGGAGTAGGAGGAGGTAATCGACATGTGAGTTTGCTTGTTGTTGGGTACGTCTCATACCATGTGTGGGTGTAGCGGCTGGTGGTGGTTGAAACCTGGGTACGTTTGGTTCGGCCATTCTGCCTTTAACATCTTCGTTGCCAGTTGCTCTTGATTGTTGACCGCGTTTGCTACCATAGTGTGGTTTAGCTGCTGGTAGTTGGTTAAGTGTGGGTACGTTTGTTGTGGCCCTCTTGCAATTGAAATATGATGTGCTCGCTGCCCGTGGCAAGTGAAATGCGGGCACGTTTGCTCCTGAGTGCGTTCGCTGCCATGGTGTGGTGTAGCTGCAGGTAGCTGCTGAAATGTGAGTACCCCGTGTGTACCCATGTCGCGTCGCGTGCAGATCCGTGCGGGCTCGCACGCAGACTCAGAGAAGCGGCGCTTCCCGTTCTTGTCTGGATCGATTCCACCAACAACGGCAGTTTCGCACGAGACATCTTCGAACAAGTGAGATCTTCAAGGACGTGTGTTAAGACGTCTTGCGTTAAGCATGGGGCTCCCTCTCGAGACATCCTCAAAAAGATGAGATCTCCAGGGATCTTGCGAATTCGCCGAAATCTTAAAATGAGGCTCTCGCTCGAGATACCCTCGAGCACATGGGATTGTAGACGAGTTGTTTGAAGACGTCTTATGTTCAGAAAGAGGCTCTCGCCCAAATCCGCTCCCGCGAATTATTTCTTTTCGTTTCGGTGCTAACTATAACCCAGGGGGGGTCCTTCATTGCTTCCTTGGGTTAATTGGTGTCGGTCCCACCGCCAGGCAGATTCGATTCCTTGATGCACAGTCACTGCCGGCATCTCCAGGCGCTGGTGAAATCAGTTGCATTCAGTGGATTCGCTACCCTACGCTTCTGTTGACCACCCTGGGAGAGGCCAGGGGAGGGGGCGCGGGAGGGTGCCCGCGGGGGGGTGGGGGTGGGGGGGCACGGAGGGTGTCACCCGAATCTTTTTGCGTGTTGGGGCCATTTGCTTGTTTGGAAAGCAGAGCGCAGGGATGTGCTCCCCCAAAGCACCAATTCATTGCGGGCACGACGCGTCGGTCGGGGACAAACTTGTTTCCGGGCAACAGACGACACTAGGGATGATCCGACACACGGACCGCTACGAGCGCACGCGGTGGCGGACTTCACGATCGGGGAGCCGTATTTCTTTTACGACTTTGTATTGCACAGTCCGAAACAGCGAGAAAATTATAAGCCCGGCATGATAGTTGAGCAAAACAAGAAGTCGTGCTACGGATGTTCATTCTGGCAGAGCGAAGTAAATTCGACTTCCCGGGCCAAGCAGTTTGTGCTGGACTTCTTGATGCTGGGGATGCGACCAGATTTTTTATGGCGGCACATCTTCCCACAGGTGGCGCAAGCCAACGTCTTCTTCCGATCGGCTGGCCCCCTCGATTTTGTCTGCCACCTGGAGGAGTTTGAACGAGGCTGGGAGTTCGCGGGCATGATGGCCAACAGGTCACTGGATACCTTCAACAGGGGCTGCCGAGGCCACGCCTACTCTGGGTCCGGGTCGGGGTTCGAGCCGCGGGAGGCCATGACCCGCGCCATCTTCACCACCGAGGGGGGGCCCGCCGAGAACTGCGCTGCGGACGGCGAGGCATCGGGGACCTGCGGGGGCCCGCAGGTCGACGCCGACCGCGCGCTGGCGACGCTCCGGGAGGCGCTGGCGGGCAGACCCGGGGTGGAAGGCGCCATTGGCCTCCTCGGCGACGCCCTCGCCGAGCAGCGAGGAACAGCCAACGGCCCAAGCATGGACGGTCGGAGCTCCGCGGGGACTTCTTGGGTCGGCGCTGGGCCCCCCTGGCGCGCTCCCGCGCGCCAGGGCGGTGGGGCCCAGTGACGGCCCAGGAGATCCGAGCGCAGCTCCGAAGGTGTATGCCTACAGGGCTTTTCTTTTTCCTCGCCGAGCAGCGGCGGGGGGACGGGCGCGGGAGCGGGGGCGCGAGCGGCGCATCCGACGTGGCCACGAGCTTGGGCTGCGCGCTGCTTTTGCCGGACTACGTCTGTTTCGGGTACAGGAATGTGGCGGACCCCGCGGCCTGCGTGGCGGCGGGTTTCGCCGACTCGCTCGCACAGTGGGACGAGATCCAGTCGGAGGTCCGCAGGGTGATCTGCCCTGGGGTGCGGAGGTGGATTGGCGGCCAGTACGACTCTGGGCCCCTGGACACCAATTCTGGCAGAAGAAACGACTGCATGGAGATACGTTTTCGAACCTGCGCGCGAATTTCTTGGATCGGCGCTTGGGTCCCCCTTGCGGGGCGCCTCCAGCGCCGATCCAAGACATCCGCGCGGATCTCCGACAGTGTATGTTTATGCCGTGTTTTCTTCTTCTGCATACGGTCCGCGAGATCTTCAGAGAGAAGTTGGCCGACGGCATGTAGCTGGCCGTGCAAGGCGGCTTTGGTGGGTCTGCTAGCCCGCTGCGTCATCGCCTTTCTCACCACCAGGTCTCATCCTGCGGGCCGCTCCGCGTTCGGGCTGGAGCTCTCTCAGGCAGTGATCTCCGACATTTTCCCCACCTCGGGATGCGAGGAGAAACATGAGGGCCGGATGTGGGGAGGGCGGGGGAGGGACGCTCGGCGGTTGAAGTTCTCGCCTCCGCGCGCGTTCGCCTCTACGCAGCTGAATGCTTGCGTTTCGCAGGATCTCTGTCGAGAATACCAGAGAGAGAGAGAGAGAGAGAGAGAGAGATGTAGAGCCATAGCGAGAGAGAGAGAGAGAGAGATCATGAGAGAGAGAGTGAGAAAAAAGCAAAGTGTTTATCACGTTCTTGTTAGTCTGATGTCTGAAGGGTTGGCCGTCTTGGGGTCGCGGCGTCTCGATCCGTTTTCTTGATGGCTCAAGCGCGCCCGATTCGCGTGGAGCCGAGTGGCCGACTGGTTGAGAGCGCGCGATATCTCTTACCTTGGTTCGGTGCCCAGCCGCACCACCGTGCCCGCGTGCCCGCCATACACTTGTCAGCTGACTTGTCCTTTCGTTTCGCCTGCTGCTGGCCGCCTCGTAGACGTCTCGGCCGGCGTGATCGACTTGACCAGCCTCACCCGTTTCATCGCCACCGTCGGCTTGTGCAGCGCCAAGGGCTTCGCGCCCACTCGCCGCCATGGTGTCCAGAGTCGTCCAGCTCTGGGCCTGGATCCTGCAGTGGGGCCTTTTGCAGCCACTGGGAGCGACACCAGTCAATGACCGACCTGTGGTGTGCGCCATGTCCGACGCAGGCGTATACTTCGAGCTGCTAGGTGAAGTCATCCATGACTGCCAGGCCATGAGGTTCTCGAGTGATTGCCGCCCATCCCGCCAGGAATCGATCGCGGACGGGCGACAGCCACCCTCGTGCCAGCCGCCGTCCCCGTCTTAACCGCCGCGCAGCGGGTCACGGTGGAGACGACCGCGTTCACCTCCATGGAGATCCCCGTCATCATCGGCGTGGCGGGCACCGAGATGGGCGAGGTCGGCATCTTCACCACCCCGTCGGGCAACACGGTGCTCGGGCGCGACATGCAGGCATACCCCGTGGAGGAGCACCGTGTGACGGACAGCGCCCGCGACGCCAGGCACCATAAGACCACGACTATGACGACGAAGGAACTGTGCCAGTCGCCATTTCTTGACTGGCCCGTCCCGATGCCACAGACTGTGAAGTGGTGCCGCGAGAGGCTCGTTAGTCGACAGGGAGGGCCGCTGGAGCACCCACGCTCGCTGGTCATGACCTTCGGGCCGCGCACGAACATGTCGGGCTTTAAGGTCCACCGCACTATCATGAGGTGCCTGGACGAGGGTTTCCGCGGCCTGGTGGATGTCAGCGACAGCGCCGCCGTTGAGCTGCTCCTCAGTGGGGCGGGGCTGGCGGAGTACGTTTACCAGTTCACCACATGGACGTTTTGGCTACCCGCGGGTCCAAGGCCACGGGCAAGGGCAAGGCCGCTGCCGGTTCTCCAGCATGCCGTCTTCGACGAGTCGGCGATCCCTTCCGAGATGACCAAGGACTCGGGCTTGGCGATGCTCCGCCCGAGCTTCGTGGCCCACGTGGCCCCAGAGGTCGAGCATTACGCTGCCATCCTCGAGCTGGTCAGCAGGGCCCGAGAGGAGAGGACGGTGCTGGCCACACAGAGCCGCAGGAACGACCAGGAGCAGGCGTAATGCTCACCCCTCCGGGGCTGGGACCGTCTCCCTGCCAGCCCCGGCTTGTCCGTCCTGTCCATGGCACGCCGCCGGATGATATGCGTGGCCCAGGGGCCCGGGCGAAAAACGCTTACGGCGAAGGTGCCGTGATCGCCCCCCTCAGCGCCCACGCTGTCCACCTGGTCGGCCTGCCCGTTGCTGGGCCGAAGTCGCGCTCACTTGAACACCCAGCGGGACATCGGGGCACAGAGATTGCTGAGCGACTAGTTCAATTGCGTTTGCCAGAATCCATTGGCAGGGAGAATGCAAAGTTTCATGGGCCCGCCCGACGTCGGATCCAGCCCTCAAGTGGTCCCCAGCCCTGTGTGCGGAGCTTTTTGCGCCGGGTGGCCGACTGCGACGCGATCGAGTGGCATCTATCGGGCGAGGTTTCATGCGGCTTAGTCTTTGTCCATAAGAAGTCAGGGAAGTATCGTTGATGGTCGACGGTCAACTACCATCATGCCACTTCCGGGCCAGTGACCCTGTCTCGCTGGTCTCAGGGGCCTCCGTTTCCGCCATCGAGGTAGACAGTGCTGCGCCAGTCCAGGTCGGTTTCGTCGATGTCGTTGGCGTTTTGTTTTGCGTTTTGAACAAAACTGTAACTACCAGAAGCTCTTCGAGGTCTGTTTGTCGGATCCACGCCGACCTGGCGAATGTCTCGCCGACTCAAGGCCGGGCTATCAGACGAGGCCAATACATTCCCGATGGGCCGGGAGTTGTCTTTTTGGGCGTGCCGACAGGTTCTGGGGCGCCGGGCCAGGCTCGTGGCCGACGTCTCTGAAGAGCACGCGCTCGTCGATGATCTGCCTCCTTCCAGCCTGGCGCCCTTCGCCCGTGCCGAGTATGTAGACAACTTCTGCGTTTCTGGTAAGGATCTCGAGGTGGTCGGAGCAGTGGCCGAGGCTGTCCAGCAGGAGATGCACAGCGTGGGCCCTCCCATTCCCCCAGTCGAAGCGGGTCCCAGAGCACTGCGTCGGGTTGGACCTTGCCGGGCGAGGATGCCACCGCGGGGCCCGCTGAGCCCTCGCGCGGCCTGGCGGATCAGGCTAGCCATCCAGCAAATTCTTAGCGAGGGGTTCGTGCGTGGGGACATCAGCATGTCGCATTGCATTACTCGTGTTCTTTTACGTCGTGAGTTGTTTCGCGTGTTGTCCGCCTGTTCTTCTTTTGAAGCTGGCGCTGGGCCCCGTCGCCGCCGCCTGGGCCATTCTCCTTGCCCCGCGGGGTCTCGGGGTCGCTTGGTCTGAGAGCGTCTTGGCAGTCGGCGCTTCGTCCCAGGGGGGTTGCGCCACTCAGCGCAAGGCGCCGCTCGGCATCGTCAAGTCGCTCGGTCAGTTCAACCGGGGGCGGCGGTTCTCTCCACAGAAGGAGATAAGGGATACCGCCCTCAGGATCATTTGCTGGCCTCGGCTGGACTTGGCGGGCACCCCGTCGGCGGCCCTGCTGCCGAGACCCCCGCAGCCCCCGTCCGGGCACTCGAGCTCCCAGGCCCCCCCCCGGACATCGACTCCGACGCGCGGGGCGGGGGCTGGCGCCGGGTTTCGGCTTGGAGATGGGCCCGCTTGGAGGCCTGGCCCAGGTGATCTTCGAAGGCCGCGTCGCGGTTTTGGTCCACCTCCGCACGATGCGCTCTCCGGCCACTTTCGGGGAGCGCCGCCTGATGTTGGGGGGCGCCATGGCTGGCATCCAGCCGTGTCCGGGGGTCGATCACCCTCGAAGCTGATGCGAGTCTGCCGGTGGATTGCCGGCCTCATCCTGGCCGTCGGCGCGGCTGCCCGCCGCGGTTCGAGGCTCGAGAAGGGGGGTCTGGGCCGAGGCGTCCACTCGGCTGCGAGGGGCTGACCAGCCGTTTGCCCGCCTGCCGGGGGCGCCCGCGGCCAGCGAGACCGGCGCGCCCGCGCCCTCGCGGCCCAGCTCGGTCGGGCTTTTGGCGTCGACGACGGCCCGTTTGGCGAGCTCGCGCCCTCGGCAGCCGCTGGCGCCTCCCTCGCGCCAGAGGTGCCGCGAGCGATCTGCGTCGAGCCAGCCGCTGCTCGACCGCGGGGTCGAGGCGAGCCCGCGGGCCGCCCGCGCTGCCCCGCGCCAGCGGGGCTGCGGCGGGCGGCGGGCGCCCCGCGACCGACGAGCTCGGCCTGACTGCGCTCGCGAGGGGCGCCTTGGAGAAGCCTCGGGGGGAAAGGTGCGATCGCGTAGTGGGCCAGGTCGACCGGCGGCGCGAGACTGCGGCGTGGCAGTCGACCTCATCTGGCAGCTAGACACAGCGATGGCGGCCCTCCTGCGCGAGCAGTTTTTCAATCCCCCGAGCTTCGTCGGCGCTTTCTGGCTGGCCGCCCCAGCGCGCTGCCGGCAGGGCTTGTCGCCCGAGGCGCCGGAGCTCTCGCCTGCAAGGCGGACCCCTCTGGGTTTTGCGAGGGGCGCGCCCCGCCGCCCGCGCTGGCCCCTCCCGCGGCCGTCCGTTGCGCCGGGGTCCTGTGCCATCCCGTTGCAGGTTCCCATTCGGTATCGCATCATCCCTATCGAGTGCCCCAGTAATCCTGTACCTCTCCTAGAGATCGATCAGGAATCCAGAAAAGCTCGCCCAGTTAGCGCGCGCGTCGATGTTTCGGCTCAAATCCCATCGGCGAGGGCGTCTGCCCTATTCACTCACACAAACTCATGCAGGACCCGAATTTGCGATGTTGCGAATGCGCCCGCCCCCCCCCCGCATTTGGGGGCGGGGCGCCGGGGCCCCGCCCTCGCCGGGCCAGGAGAGTCCGGGGGGCGGCGCCCTGGAGGTAAGGTGACAGGATCTCGTTGTCGTTTTGCTGTTGTTGAGCTGTCACTAACTACTGTTGATCCACCACCTCCCGGGCACATTAGGTTGCCCCGTTGAAGTGCCCCTTCCAGGGGCTCGCATTTTGTTTTTTCCCATTGAGGGAAAGTCTCGGGCCTCAGACTTGCGCCCTTGGCCTCCGGTCTACATCAACAACCCCAGACGCTCAGATCAGACAAAAAATTAGAAGATCCAGCTGGACGAATAAAAAAATATAATAGGGATAAAATTCAGATTCCGTTATAGAAATGTGAGAAATTATTTAGTAGATCGGCGACTAAAATTTTATCATATCAGTTTATATGATATAAGCGTAGATAAAATTATATATATATATATATATATATATATATATATATGACCTATGTTTATACATTTAGTCAAGGATGACAGTGCAATTTCGATTCGCGTCGCCTGATTTGGGCGCCTCTGCAAAACTCGAGGGCGGGAGATCGGAGAGGAGGCCGAGCGTCCCAGAACGTCTCGAAGAGCTCTTCTGCCTGGACCCCTCGGCCAAGCAAAAACCATTGCCCGCGGAGCAGTTCGCGAGGGTCCAAGTGACCCCCCCGTGCCGAAAAGCTTCAGTGAAGCTTTGCGGGCACCTCCTCGAAGAAGAGGGGGAAGGAAATAAAGGGACTAGTAAGGAGGAGGACTGGGGGAACGGCAGGAAGAGCAGAGAGGGAGAGGAGAGGGAGAGGAGAAGAGGAGGAGGAGGAGGGAGAGAGGAGAAGGGCAGGAGGCGTACTGGAGAGGGAGATGATTCGGAAGAACATTTTACTATGCACCTCTAGCTACTCAAGTTCACGAAGAGCGAGCGGTTGACACATGTTTGTTGTTTGCATGTTCTTCTGGTCGTCGTCGTCGTCGTCGTCGTCGTCATCGTCGTTTTCTTCTTCATCATGTGTCAACCGAGCGGAACGCACCGCGCAGCTCCGCAGCGCCGTTACCCCTTGAAACTGCGGGCTGAACGGGCAGCTAGTTCGGGCGAAAGTCGACTAGATCGCACGCCCGATACTGCCGAATGACCTGGCTGCGAATCGTCTTGCAGTGGCAACACTTCGCCCTAGACGCTGCATCCCCGATTTCATTCTCGTCCATGTAGCACCAACTACTCTTAGGACACCCAGAAACAGCTACACTATCTTCGATAGCGTGTAAAAACAAATGGTGTTTGGGGAACATCCTCCAAAGTGTGGTGTCCCTGTCGGCCTCTATGGCCTCCCTGGACAGTTCACTATACAACATGATGTGTTGGGTCCCGAGCCTGCGCAGAGTAGCTGCAGACGCGCCTGAGTCCTCCCAAACATCCATGCACCTGTACGCTTCGGCTAGCTTGCAAACGCACCTACACCTCAACCTCTCATGTGAGGTTCCGTTGGGGAAGAAGTTTAAAACCATGAATTCAGTGCACTGCAAGAGGTATCGGGCTTCCGCAGCTTTGACCTTTAGCTTCGGGGGCTGGCCCGAAGTCTTTATCATCCCCACTGTGAGATTGTTTAGCGGTGGCTCGATGCCCAACGTCTTGGCGGCGATGCGGACCATCGACAATATGTTCGATGACACCTGCTTGTTGTGGCCGCCCTCCCCCGTGGACGTATTGCCCCCCATGTGCTTCCAGAACTCCCACCATACGTTACCGAGCAAGTACAAAACCACGCCTGGAGAATGTTTGAGGGCGCGACTGTTTTTCTCGGCGAGTCCAGCCGTGGCGACGATCCCACCCCGACAGATCAAGAGAGGAAAAAAACAAAGAAGCTATCCTAGGTCCCCAGCGTGCATGAGATCCACGTGCACGTACTCCAACTGAAAGCCAGGCCATTCGAACACGCAGCTGACGAAGCGGCCCTCGTCAGATGCACGGCGCAAGTATTCCTCGTGGGAGTGCCGTTCCTGTCTCCACGGCGCCTCGAGATCAGCCCTGCGGAAATCACGCGTCGTGTTGTTAGCCGAGCATAGCCAACAGCAGTCGCCTCGCCCCCCTTCCCCTCGCCATCCAGTAAGCCCGAATGCTTGCTTCATCCAACTCCAATCCCCCCTCATCTGAATGGCTGCCCCTCGTGCAAGCATGGGCTTGCCTGCCATGCCAGCGCGGTCCCGATCGTTGTCGAAGGGCGAGCACGAAAAAGGGATGCCGTCGTGCCGCCTGTCTGGGTATTTACCGTCT